GCGATAGTTTCTTTTCTCAGTTTGTTAATAGAAATAATTTCCTTACTGATTTCCCAATATTAAACCACCCTGGCATAGTCAATTCTACTTTGCGTATATACACTGCAGGTTTCACAGCTTTTCATCTTTTACTATGATCTGAAACAAGGACATTGTAATTTTGTGTTCTTTAAATCATACATGATATTCTGCTATGAAATTATCTAGTTGGGTATCTTTTAGTTCCTTTTGTAGTAATTGGAATATTTTTGTATGATGTGTTTCTTCCAGGGCAAATTATAATAGTTTGTGAGGAAATGATTTGCTCTAGATTTTGGGAGTTGGTTGTAAATCTTCGATTTGCAATTATGTTCTTCCTTAATTCTAATCTTGTATTTTATCTTTTTCTTATTTTCCTTATTTAGAGTAGTTGAGGGAACTTTTCTACCTATGTAGTGTTTCAGTTTAGTCATGTTTTTTCTCTTGGTTTCATTCAGTTGAGCTTATACTTGACTACAGAAATAGTCATGAATGTAAATGTTTATCTTGTGTACTTAGGTTTATTTTAGTTTAAGTATATTGAATTTATTCACAAGTCAATTGTGAAGTATATTAGCTCTCTTGATAATTATATATATTCATTTTTTCCTTTTATCCAGTCTTTTTTTTTCTTTTAAACATTTTCTGTATATTTTTTGCCGCTATACCACAATGTCTTGTTCTGTATTTAACACTGCATCTTAGACATTTTCTATTATATCAGAACACAGATATCCATAAGATACGTGTACAGTGTGAATGGGACCCTAGCTGTGGGTAGATATTGACCTACCTCCAGCTTCTCCCCATTACAAGTAATCCTGCAGAGAACATTCTTGCCCATCTCTGCAACTGCATACCATGGGGCTTTGTGGCGTGAAATACCAGCATCAGGGGATTCTTTGCATTTTTCTTTGTCTTTTGTTTGCATTTTCAATTTTGATGAGAACCAGTAAATTGCCTGTGAACCAGCACTGGCGCGACCGTGTACTTCTCCTCACACCCTCCTAACATTGTATATCAGTAGTCTTTAACTGTCACTTGTCTGATGAACAAAAAGTTTTCATTTAATGTATGCTTCCTTGATTTACTAGTGAAGTTGAACATCTAATTATATTATCTGTATTGAGTCCTGTTAATGGCTGTATTTTTCCATTAGATTGTCTTATTAATTATAGTAGAGTTTTGTATATTAAGGATGATAGTTTTTTAATTCCTTATTTGCAAATTTATGATTTTGGTTTATCATTTGTAAGAATGTTAACTTTTGGTTGATTCTGCAGAACTATCATTTGTGTTGACAGCTTTTTATAATAACAGTAACTGTCAGTAATAAAGTAATTTTGGGAAGGCTGTCATCTGTAACAAAAGTACAGAGTAATACTAGAGCTCCAGTGCAAGGATTGTTCTACAAGTCTTCAAAGCAACTAATCTTATGGTTAAAAGTAATGTCCTGGTTTTGGCCCATTCAGAATACACATCTCTTTGTCAGGTATTCTATGATTAGGCAAGGACAATCTAAATATGTGATGGGCAGCATTTGTTTATTGCTCTAGAAAGGTCTTATTTTTTTTTTAAAGTAGTGATTTTTAGGAAAATAAGTTTTTTGAGTAGACTGTGCTGTCCTCATTACTTAATATAACTACTTGCCTAAGTCATATATTTTGTCCTATGAGGACTTTCATAGGACAACTTTATGGTTGTTACTGATATATGCATTAATGTTTTATGCCATTCTTCATCTTATATTTAACATTCAAAGATGCATTTTTTTAAATTTTTCTTTTAAAATACTACTTACTAGTTTTGAGCAGAAGCAAGATACAGTTTTAAGTTCCAGATTAGGTGCATTGAAGGAAAAGGAGCAAAAGTTTATCAGATAAATCATTTTTCTCCAGAATTGACTTCTATAAGTAGATTTATTAGTTAAGACATTAGGACAAAATTTATATTCCTATCTGAAATGATTGTTTCTAACTATTGATGCAAAGTGTTGGAGCCTTGCCCTTAATAGGAACTTAGTGGGTGGGCCAGGACAATGTTGTAATTAACTCACTAGCCAACTGTGTTAAACTTGGGCATGTTCCTGTACTTTCTTATGCTCCATTTTCTCTTTTTATAAAGTGGAGATAATAAATAGTATCTACTTGAGTGGAGTTAAAGAATTGAGAATTGATGCAGAGCAGTGAGTGGCATAGCACAGTGCTTACCACTCGTTAATAGATCAGGAATTCATCTGTCCTTATTGACAATTAGACTGTTCTGAATATAATACCCTTGGCACAGCATTTGTGTGGGTAAAATGTGGTCTTTAGAAGCAAATTTGACTGAATTGTTCTAGTTTTATTATTTACTCCCTGAATCACTATGAGCAAGTTATTAACCCTTGTAAGCCTTGGTTTTCTTATTTGAAAAATGAGGATAGTGTGTTCATACTGGTTTGTATAGTTTTAAGGCTTAAATAAAGTAATGGCTAGTGAATACTAAATTGCTTCTTGTTTTACTGGTTTGTATATTTCTCCTCTTTGTCCCTATTATTTGGTAAAGTGTACTTTGTCTCTTTTAATTCCATTTTTTCATAAGTTTGTTTCTGGTGAACTTCCTCTTTTCCTGAATGCCCTTTAGCAGGTGCAACTTAGGAAATTTAAATATAATTTTGGAACTTAATAGATTCCTCTTTAGTGCAGTCCTGAGATGCTGTTGGGTTCATTTTTTAAAAAATAAAAGAAATACAAACCTCTGTATGCCTTAGCAGAATTTGTGAAGTAAAGCAGTACTCGTAGTTGAGGCTTCCATATATTTCTAAATCACATCACCTTTAGGTTAAAAGATGTTAAAGTAACAATAAGCTAAGTATTTCAGCAGTTACTATAATATTTGCTCCAGAAAGATTATAGTTGTTATATGCTGCTCAAGATGCTAGAACAAGTTAAGGAATTTAATACATCTTTTGAACTATCTAACTCTCCTGCTACACCATGCACAATCCATTTGGTAAATAGTCATGTCAGATGACTTAATGAAGAATCTCTATGAAAAGCAGACATTTTGTTATCAAACAGCTCAAATTGTATCAAGTTTCTTCTTTGAATTCTAATGGCTATTTATAATTCCTTCACATTAACTCATTTTCTTCCAAGAAGTTTTAGAAAATAATCATCTTGCCTCATCTACTTGTGTTAAAATCACATTAATTTGTGTCCTTAAGTCATCTTTACTTGTTCTCCATCCCCTCATTTTGCAAATCTTCATTAAATAGCATATTTGCTTTGACCATTGAACATGTCTGAAATGGAGATTCGTTCTATAATCCATCGTGTCTTATATCCAGTCTGCAAGCAGCAGTTATGGCTTAGTTGTGCATAATTTGAACAACAAAAGTGCCAACATCAGAAGAATGAATGTCAGTGGTTTGAGAGAAAGTTCTAGAAATAATGATGACAGAGCACTTTTATCAGCTAGGAATAAAGTGATTATGGTGAGAGAGTAGAAAAAGCAATAAAATGATGTATGTTGAACCACATTCCCAACGCAGAAATCAGAAGTAGGTGTGTGCTATTTCTCAGTAAAGTTGAGAAGGAAGAAAGAAGGTTCGGCTTTAAGTACAGAAGATAGTTAAGAATGAATGCCGGTGATTTTCAGTTTTAATAAATGCTGTGTTACCAGTATTATTGACAAAGGGAATGATCAATACATGTGGGATATAATGGACGTCTACAGCTCTCATTCAAAAAATGGTCTCAGTGTGAAAGTTTAAGGAACAGCTTAACTGTTTTGCCTATTTTTCCTTTTATTTATTAAAAAACTGAGTTTTGATTAAAAGTGCCTAAGTAAGAATACATCTTTCAGAAGTGCAAAGTAAAATCTGAGTGTTAAAAAGCATGTGATAGTTTGAAGATGATTTTACTTTTTCTTAGAAATATATGTACAGTGTTTTGTCTTAGATTTGAAGAAATGTGATACAGGTCATCTCTAACCCTTTTTCAACCATACTTTGTTACAATCTAAATAATCTGGTACCTGGAACTGAACTTAATACCTTTGATGTCATTCAGTAATTTATTTATTCATGATTCCTTGTAAAATTACTTTTTTTAAACGTCTTAAGAAATAATTGACATATAAAGCTGTACATACTTAATGTGTATAACCAGATGATTTGGGGAATAAATATATACCTGAGAAACTATCACCACCAAGACCACAGACACCTATCATTTCTCAAAGTTTCTTACCACCCCTTTTATTATTATTTTATGTGTTTATGTATGGGAACCTTGTAAAACTCTTAACCAGCCTTTATCTGAGGCATCATGTCTCTTGATACCTGAAGTTTTACTAGCAGTTTTGAGTAGGTTCTTAGTAGTTCGTCTGGGTCCTAGAGTGTATATACGTTCTACACCAGTGTCACATAATACTATCACCTGTTTTATGTTGAAGCATTTGGATTCACTTTTTATCCCTGTTAAATTTCACCTTGCTTGATAAATTCTGTCATCCAAAATGCATCCTTTCTAGCTTTGACAGCTGCGTCTTTATGGCATGTCAGTCTAGAACTTTGTCCAAGTTGAGGTACTTTGAATTCAAGTTGTTGAGCTAATGAGCAATCCACCTATACAACACTAGCATCTACTTCATATATTTTAGCTACAAGGCATAGGTTGTGTTGCATGTAGATTGTCTTGTGTGTGTTACAGAATTACCATTCTCAGAAGAAACAGTCATATCCTTATCCTTCAGAGATACTTCGTAGAATACAGAGATTCTAAAACCTCAATAGATCCATGCCACTTTTGAAATACTTCTAAAATGGTCAGTTATCTCCCTACTACTTGCATTGATGAATTATTCTAAATGACTTAAAAGTGAGAAGTATGACTATTTTTGTACTTTTGTTTGCATATTGTTAATAAAACTAATGAAAACTGATGTTCACTGGTATAGCACTGTTAAAATAATTTCTGTAATTTTTTGCTCTTTAGAAATCAATGTGGACTGAGCATAAATCACCTGATGGAAGGACTTATTACTATAATACTGAAACAAAACAGTCCACTTGGGAGAAACCAGATGATCTGAAAACACCGGCTGAGGTAAAAGTTTGAGCCTTCAAAATTTATAGGGGGCGGGGATTCCTGGGTGGCTCAGAGATTGAATGTCTGCCTTTGGCCCAGGGCGGGATCCTGGAGTCCCGGGATCGAGTCCCACGTCGGGCTCCCTGCATGGAGCCTGCTTCTCTCTCTCTCTCTCTCTCTCTCTCTCTCTCTCTCTCTCTCTGTGTGTCTCATGAATAAATAAATAGAATCTTTAAAAATAAATAAAATAAAATTTTTAGGGATTGTTAAATGGATTCTTTTTTTTTTTTTTTTTTGGATTTCATGGGTATTTGGTAGGAGGAAAGACCAATTTTGTTTACTGATTTTTTATTTTTTGCCCCTGCTCAGGAACCCTTATCAAGTGGCATCAATTTGAGAAAGATGATTTAAAGAATAAATTTGAAGAGCAGAAGGACTCTCACTGCTTGCCCTCCATTTTTTAAATTCACATTTTAAACTATTTTCCTTTTATAGCAAACCTAGGTGATTCCATGTTTTCCAATGAATTCTTAAGTTTCCACTGAGTTGGCGTAATGGAGATTAAATTAGATTACAAGTACTTCCTTCTATAAGAGTGGGAAATCGTCTCTGGAAAAAGCCCGTGAAAAGCATGTTTATTTCTTTTTGTGTTGCAAATTTTATCATTTAAAATATACAGTGGGGAAATTAGATTGAAGGAATAAACTGAGTAAACATTATTGCATATGGTATAATAGGGAACTCTGGAGTCCTAAGGAAGAGTTGATCTGGCATTTCAGGCCATACTTGGGGATTTTTTTCTAATTGGCAGCGTATCTTTATTTTCTCCCTCTTAATTAAAGAATTTGAAGATACAAAAATATTTTCCAGGCCACCATATTAACGCACAGCAATACTTGGGATGGAAGGTTGGCAGATAGTAAAAATTTTTTTATCCCAGGTCTGACATAAGCAAATACTTCTTCCTTAAATATCATCACCAAAATATCATCTAAATAAGAGTTTTCAGTAGCATTCTCATGCCACCCTAGCCAGTGTTATATATATTAGGTTTTAAGTATATCATACTTTTTTTGCTTTCTTACATAAGATAGTTCACATAGGTTTAATAAATTATAGCCATAAACCTTGTCTAAGCATGGATAAAGCAGGGTTTGCTTTTTCCTAGTTTTCATGTTTTTCCTACTTTTATTAGTATTTGAGAAGTCTGTCATAATGTGTTTGATACAGATTTTACTTATGGTGGAGTATAAATGGCAGTAGCAAATAGGATTTGAAATTTATATAGACCTGATTTTTGAGTCTTGCGTCTGCCCCTTAATTAGGTGTGTTATCTTAAACAAGTTACTTTCTATAAGCAACAGTATAAATTAGAAATAATGGTATGGATGTTGCATATTATTGGAAAGATTAAATAATATTTCAAATAACATCACCTTCCCTGGTGGTCTAGTGGTTAAGATTTGGCGCTCTCAAATAACATCACCTAAGTATGCTGTGATTGGTAGCTTATCTCAAAAGCATTTGATTTGTAAAGATTCTGATAATATTTAGTGAAGCAGAGATGTGAATAATAAGTGATGGTATTAACTGAAGATTTTTATTTTCCTTTAGCAACTTTTATCTAAATGTCCCTGGAAGGAATACAAATCTGACTCTGGAAAGCCTTACTATTATAATTCTCAAACTAAAGAATCCCGCTGGGCTAAACCTAAGGAACTTGAGGATCTTGAAGGTAACACAGAAAAAAAATAATTTTTAATGTTAATTTTTTACATATCTATGTCATTCACATTGAAACAATCCTTCATAAATAGGATTGTTCAAACACAGGTCTTATTTTTAAAAATTAAATGATTAGAACGTTTTAAATGGTATAACCGTTTTATGGGCTCTTATTTTCTTGTTGCTCTAGATATCAGTTCTATAGATTTTAAATAGATTTTTATTTGATTTGATTCCACTGAAACTAGGATACCAGAATACCATTGTTGCTGGAAGTCTTATTACAAAATCAAACCTGCATGGTGAGCTGCTTTGATAATTCATTTTCTGTCATTATTTAACATTTTTTAGAGTATGTTACTAATGTTCACTAACCATAATTGGGTAAATCTGCAGTGAGAAATCTCTAATTAAAAATTCATTTAAGGGTTATATTATAAATGAGCTTGTAAATTTTAAAATTATACTTTGATTAAAAAAATTAATTTACCATTGGAAAATTGAATAAGGGCATCATGTACAGTATTTATAAATACAGCTGTTGAGACATACATATAATATGTGACTTCACCCATGTAGCAGATAGCAGAGTTCAGTTTAAAATTTTTAATATATTGTCAGACTATGCATTTAATGCTGATTTTATTTTAACACAACATTGCAAATTAGCTTTTATGTTTGTTATAGGAGGATTTTTAAAAATACCATGCTTCACTTACAAAGGGAGTATTTTTCATTATCCTTAACTATTTGAAATACCCCTGAAAATTGGGAAATACTACTTAATATAAAATCCAGTTCTTCAAATAGAGATTAGAGTGAAAATTGAGAATTCAGTTCTTTTACTCTCACTTTTGAAATAGAATCTGGTGTCATTAATTATCAACTTAGCAGTAATTGCTTAAGTAAAATGCTTAGAAGCATTTTAAGAAATGGAGCCAGTTAATTAGTCATCAGTGTGGAATGACATCTGACAGTGAAGAGAATAAAAATTTCCTAAAGGCACTATGGTCTTGTCTACTTACCTTTTTCCTGTGTCACGTAATTAGCTTGGATCATCATTGTATCTGAAAAATATGTTAATTTATGTTAGTAATAATGACTCCTATAGTATGTTTTGTCAGACATCCTAAACCTGCTTTCTGAAATGATTTCCATTAAAGGGGGATAAGTTTTTTAAGTACTTTGATAAAGTTCAGCTTTGTTATCAGTTATATGGACCATCTCATTCCCTAATGATGCTGAATATTTTTGTTACTCATAAAGAAAAATTAATTGGAGTGGAAGCTGAAATTGGAGTGGAAGTCTTTAAAGCTCTTTAAATTTCTATACTAGCATTGGCTAATAATAATGTAGATAGGTAGATTCCCATTTTATTCATGTAAAAAATATCAAGCTCATTTCTGATATAACCCTACTATAAGATAGTTGGTGTGCATAACTATCTATCTACCTGTCAATGCTAGTATATATGTGCTGGAATTTCATAATATGAATTTGGTACCTTTAAAATGATCAAATAGTTTAACCCCCCAGAGAAAATGCTGTTTTATTCCAGAATTATACAGATATTCTGAGTTCTGCAATAGCCCGTAGCCTTTGGGAAAGTAGCAGTGTGCAAAGAAACTTTACTAAAAACTGCTGTCATTTAAATTTGTCTTCTTTAATTGCTGTCTTGGAACTTTGGAGCAAGCATTTGCTCTGAAAAAGTTTGGGTTTTTTGGATGGTAAATTAAAATCTTATTGTATGAGAAACTTCTCCTTATCTCCCTTTAAAGTTTGTTTTCAGTGATTGTATTTAAAAACCATGTCATAGGTAACTGTTTTTTTTTTCTCCTTAATAGCAATGATCAAAGCCGAAGAAAGCAGGTAAGCAGTTTTGGACATCAGTACAATTTACAAATTTGGTATCTCCAATATGTAACATTCTTGTTTAACTATTTGCTTTATAGTATAAATAATATTTACCATGTTCAGCCTGATGGTGTGTTATCTTTGGAGGATTTGGGGTAGGGAAAAGAATATTTACCAAGATATATACAAAGGACAGTTTGCTAGATGGTAATTATTGGAATTTGGATTACATCCTTTGAATTAAGAAGCCTGTGTTACAGAAAAGTAACATATTTGGTTAAAGTTGGTTTGATTTAACTCCTGTATCCAGGTGTTCTTTGAATATATGAAATGAATAAAATTTAAAGTTCATATAGAAATTTATGATATAGGCCAAATTTTATGGTATGTAATACAATGTGATAGTAGGGCATTTTGTGATTGAAAACAATTGTTGGACTTCCGGAAGTGCAGATTGTTGCATGAGTCCCTATGCTATATTATCCTGGATGTTTGCTCAGTTAAGTCGAAGTAATCCAGTTTCATTGTTTTTAGTCTTCTCAGATAGCTTAATAGTTTGTCACATTGCCTTTCTCTCTTTTATAAATCTTATTCATTTGATTTTATGATAGACTATATTGTACGGCTTTCTGATTATTAACGAGATGACCAGTTTGTTGTTGTTGTTGTTATTTTTTAATATATAGTAAGCAAGAAGAGTGCACCACAACATCAACAGCCCCGGTTCCTACAACAGAAATTCCGACCACCATGAGCACCATGGCTGCTGCGGAAGCCGCTGCTGCTGTTGTTGCTGCAGCCGCAGCTGCTGCTGCTGCTGCGGCTGCAGCCAATGCCAGTGCTTCCACCTCTGCTTCAAATACTGTTGGTGGAACTGGTCCAGTTGTTCCTGAGCCTGAGGTTACTTCAATTGTTGCTACTGTTGTAGATAACGAGAATACAGTGACAATTTCAACTGAAGAACAAGCACAACTTACTAGTACTCCTGCTGTTCAGGATCAGAGTATGGAAGTATCCAGTAATACTGGAGAAGAAACGGCTAAGCAAGAAACTGTATCCGAGTAAGTTCAGTGACTTGTCTTTTGCAAAATTAAGACTTCATTAATGGAAGAAATTTTGAGTTTACTTGATAGCCATTCACTGTTTAAAATTTTTTTGAGTATCAAAACATGAACCTTTAGATAATCATTACCAAGGCTGAATTTTGTGGGCTCATGGTCTTAAATTGTTGAAAAACTATTCCTCAGAAGTTTTACAAACCAGACTTCAGAGACACAGGGCGAGGAACAAATTAAAGAGGAGTACCAAGCACCTTAGTAATCAAGATATGTCAGTTACCGTGCAGCAATTTTAAATTTTAAGTCAAAACTAATGCAAAAAAGCCCATGATTATTAAAATAATTAAATTTTAAATAGAGACAGGATTAGTATTATTAACTATTTTGCAACAGGCTCAAGTATGACTTAGCACAACTCTGCAAGGAAGTGCTATAGTTTGATGTTGAACAAATAGAAGCAAAGATTTAGGTAGACAAAAATATTTACTAGGGTGTAAGAAAACTGTTTAGTAGGGTGTAATTAAATTGGTATAACTTTTTAATGACAAAATAGCTGTATTTGTCAATCTGTAGTTTACATGTGCGTGTATTCTGTATCATCTGGTCATATTTCCTATGGCTGTGCTTTATATAGATATAAAAAGTAACCTTGAGCTAGGCTTCTTGACTTTAATGTCCACATATATTTTTTAAAAAACTGTTAACTGTGATGTCACATTCCATACGTGATCACCCATCTTCTTAATATTTAAACATTGATTTCATCTACCAACTTCTTGTTAAATATTCTTTATTTTATGTACAGCTCCCAAAGTGAAAATAGCTTTAAATTTTTTTCTGATGCTTCGAAGTTGAAAAAGGAATCTACATGGTATATTTGAAAGCATAACAGTAACATTTTTATGTATTTCCTTGTGCCCTTTTTTACGTTTTATTTCTTCTTTTAAGGATTTATTTATCTGAGAGAGAGAGAGAGAGAGAGAGAGAGAGAGCATACACACTTGTGTGGGGGAGGAGGGCAGGGGAAGAAGGAAAGCAGACTTACCCTCTGAGCGCAGAGCCCAACATGGGACTTCATCTCAGGATCCTAAGATCATAAAGCAAGAGTTGGATGCTCAACCAGCTAAACCACTGAGGCACCTGTTTTATTTTTTTTAATAATGTCTGCAGCCATCCTGGAGCTCCAACTCACAATCCCAAGATAAAAAGAGTCGGTTATTGGTCTGTTTAGGTTTTCGGTCCTTCCTGTTTCAGTTTTGGTAGTTTATAAGTTTCTAGTCCATCCATTTCTTCCAGATTGCCTAATTTTTTGGCATATAGTTGCTCATATGTTCTTAAAATCATTTGTATTTCCTTGGTGTCGCTCATGAACTCTTTCATTCATGATTTTATTAATTTGGGTTCTTTCTCTTTTCCTTTTGATCAGTCTGGCTCGGGCTTTATCTGCCTTATTAATTCTTTCATAGAACCACCTCCTAGTTTCATTGATCTGTTTTACTGTTCTCTTGGTTTCTATTTTGTTAAATTATGCTCTCATGTTTATTATTTCTCTTCTCTCTTAGGCTTTATTTGCTGTTCTTTCTCCAGATCCTTTAGGTGAAAGGTTAGCTTGTGTTTTTTGAGATTTTTTCTAGTCTTTTGAAAGAGGCTTGTAATGAAATATGCTTCCTCTTAGGACTGTCTTTGCCATATCCAAGGTTTTAAACAGTTGTGTTTTCATTTTTGTTAGTTTGCATGAATCTTTTTAAGTCTTTAATTTCCTGGTTGACCCATTCATTCTTTAGTAGGATGCTCTTTAACCTCCAAGTGTTAGAGTTCCTAACAGATTTCCTCCTGTGATTGAGTTTAAGTTTCAAAGCAGTGTGGTCTGAAAATATGCAGGGAATAATCCCAATCTTTTAGTATTGGTTGAGACTCAATTTGTGACCCACCCAGTATGTGATCTATTTTGGAGAAAGTTCCATGTGCAGTCGAGAAGAATGTGTGTTCTGTTGCAATAGGATGGAATATTCTGTGATTATCTGTGAAGTCCATCTGGTTGAGTGTGTTATTTTTCAAAGCCCTTGTTTCTTTGTTGATCTTCTGCTTCGATCTGTCTATTGCTGTGAGTGGGTTTTGGAAGTGTATTATTATGTATTTGTTTCTTTACTTTGGTTAGTAATTGGTTGGTATTATTGGCTGCTCCCGAATTAGGAGCATAAATATTTACAATCGATAGATCTTGCTGGGTAGGCCCTTTAAGTATGATACAGTGTCCGTCTCCATCTCTTACTACAGTCTTTGGTTTAAAATCTAATTTATCTAGTATGAGGATTGCTATCCCAGCTTTCTTTTGAGGTCCATTTGCGTAGTAAATGGTTCTCCATCCCCTCATTTTCAGTCTGAAGGTGTCTTTAGGTCTAAAATGAGTCCCTTGTAGACAGCATATGGATGGGTCTTGTTTTTTTTTTTTTTTAATATTTATTTATTCATGAGAGACACAGACGAGAGAGAGAGGCAGAGACACAGGCAGAGGGAGAAGCAGGCTCCATGCAGGGAGCCTGATGTGGGACTTGATCCCGGGACTCCAGGATCACACCCTGGACCGAAGGCAGGCGCTAAACCACTGAGCCACCCAGGGATCCCCGGGTCTTGTTTTTTAATCCAATCTGATACCATTTACTAATGGACTAAAAATCATAAGATACCTACGAATAAACCTGACTAAAGAGGTAAAGGATCTGTATTGTAAAAACTACAGAACACTTATGGAAGAAATTAAGGAAGACATAAAGAGATGGAAAAACATTCCATGCTCATGGATTGGAAGAGTAAATATTGTCAAAATGTCTATGCTGCCTGGAGCAATCTACACATTTGATGGAATCTCTATCAAAATACCAATGACATGTTTCACAGAGCTGAAACAAATAATCCTCAGATTTGTTTGGAACCAGGAAAGACCCCAAAAAGCCAGAGGAATGTTGGAAAAGAATGCCAGAGTTGGGGGCATCTTAATGCCTTACAAAGCTGTGATCAAGACAGCATGGCACGGCATGAAAACAGACACATAGGTCAGTGGAACAGAATAGACAACCCAGAAATGGACTTCGAACTCTATAGTCAACTAATCTTTTGACCAAGTATGCAAGAATATTCAATGGAAAAAAATAAACAGTCTCTTTAGTAAACAGTACTGGGAAAGTTGGACAGCCACATGCAGGAAAATGAAACTAGACCAATCTCTTACACCATACACAAAGATAAACTCAAAATGGTTGAAAGACCTAATGTGAGACAGGAATCCATTGAAATTCTAGAGAAGAACACAGGCAGCAACTTTTTTGACCTCGATGGCAGCAACTTTTTTGACCTCGATGACAGCAACTTCTTGCAATACACATCTCTAAAGGCAAGCGAAGCAAAAGCAAAAATGAACTTTTAGGACTTCATCAAGATATAAAGCTTCTGCACAGCAGAGGAAGCAGTCAACAAAACTAAAAGGCAGGCTGTGAAATGGGAGAAGATATTTGCAAATGACAGTTAAGGGGCTAATATCCAAGATCTATAAAGAACTTTAAAACACCCAAAAAACAAATAATCCCATCAAGAAATGGGCAGAAGACATGAACATACATTTCTCCAAAGAAGGCATACTGATGGCCAACAGACACATGAAAAATTGCTCAACATCACTTGGCATCAGGGAAATACAAATCAAAACCTCAATGAGATACCACCTCACACCAGTCAGAATGGCTAAAACTAACAAGTCAGGAAATGACCTTTTGAGGAGGATATGAAGAAGAAGGAATCCTCTTATTACACTGTTGGTGGCAAGCTGGTGTAAAGCCACTCTGGAAAACCGTATGGAGGTTCCTCAAAAAGTTAAAAATAGAGCTAACCCTATGACCCAGCAATTGCACTACTATCTACCCCAGAGATACAAATGGAGTAAAAGTGCACCCCAATGCTCATAGCAGCAGTGTCTGCAATAGCCATAGTGTAGAAGGAACTGAGATGTCCTTCAACAGAAGAATGGGTTAAGAAAAGGTGGTGTGTGTGTGTGTGTGTGTGTGTGTGTGTATTATATATATAATAATATACACATTAATACACGATAATATATATTACATATATATAATATACACAATGGAATATCACTCGACCATCAGAAGGGATGAATATCTACCATTTACATCAACATAGATGGGACTAGAGGGTATTAAGTAAAATAAGTCAATCAGAGAAAGACAATTACATGGTTTCCCTCATATGTAGATTATAAGCAGTAGTGGAGAGGACTACAAGGGAAGGGAGGGAAAACTGGGGAAAAAAGTCAGGGAGGGAGACAAAGCATGAGAGACTATTAACTCTGGGAAACAAACTGGGGGTTGCTGTAGTGGGGAGGTAGGTGGCGGATGGAGTAACTGGGTCAAGGACATTAAGGAAGGCACGTGATGTGATGAGCACGGAGTGTTATACACAACTGATGAATTACTGACCACTACATCTAAAACTAATGATGTACTATATATATTGGCTAATTGAATTTAAATTAAAAAAAGATACATACTCCAGCATGTTGAATGATTATTATTTACATATATGTAAATTTCAGTGTTCTGACAGACATTGAAAGTTTTGGGATGGTGTTTTATATATCCTTTTATACTTTTTTTTTTTTAAAGATTTTATTCATTCATGAGAGACACACAGAGAGGGGCAGAGACATAGGCAGAGAGAGAAGCAGGCTCCCTGTGGATCGACCGGACCCCAGGATCATGTCCTGAGCCAAAGGCAGATGTCCAACCGCTGAGCCACCCAGGCATCCCTATACTTTTATTTTTCTTTCTACAATTTGTTTTTCATAATTTCAGCAACAAACAATTACTTTCTGCTTATTTTCTTTCTAGTATTTCCTTCTAGTACCTGAATCGTCATAATCTTTTTAATTTCTGCAACATATACCATTTACAGGTGGTAATTTTTGACTGGGCCCTTTATACTATTTCTGATAATTTTGAATAAATTTCCCAAAGTAAGGTTACTTGACTCAGAGGGTATGAATATATTTTGTGTAGTTGCTCCATTTAATATTTGCTCCATTCTCTTCTCCTAAGCATTCTGGTTCATTTTTTTTTCCCCTGCATTTTTACCTTTATATAGGAAGAGATGTTAGTATTATATGATCTTTTCATTTTATAAAGACCCCCAAACTAGTGCAGTTGGTAACTCTTGAATATTTTCATTCTTTTTGTTTGATATCAATGTTTGACATACTTTTTTGTGAATTACAAAAGAATATATATATATACTTTCAGTTTTGTGGATCAGTCTTAAAATGATGCAGTTCTGTGGTAGCATATAAGAAGCCATAATATATAAACTTATGAGTAGAACTATATGTATAGAAACAGATAGTGGGCTAGATTTGGTTCTCATGAATTGTAGTTTTTCCTATCCTGATTTAGGTACCCTCAATATCTTTATATTTATGCACACTTGCCCAAATCCTTAGTTACTAAGGCACTAAAATGAAAACACTAGGTAAGTTTTATAGACCATTTAAAAGTATTCATTTGTGGACTAGTGGAACTAATGTTCTAGTGTCACTGTTTTTTTAGAGGCCCCTATGCAGGGTCCTAATAACTGAATGTTCCAGGAAAAAAATGTATTACCTTTATGTCTTTATGTTTAAGTAAGTGTGTAGGGTTCATACGGGAGAATTTATTCTAAAATTATAAAATTTAACCTCAATATCAAATGCTTAAATGATTAAAACATTGTTTTTATAAGCGAAGCAAATGTTTACTTAAGTTATAAATACCATATTTAAATTTCCTTCTAGTTTTACTCCAAAAAAAGAAGAGGAGGAAAGCCAACCAGCAAAAAAAACCTATACTTGGAATACAAAGGAGGAAGCAAAGCAAGCATTTAAAGAATTATTGAAAGAAAAGGTATTAAAGATTTTTACATGACATGCCATAATAATAAAGTTACTGTTTAATGCAATCAGCACCTTGATGCCTTTTTTGAAAATGCTAATCTCATAAAATGTTGTAACCAAAAATGAACTAAAGTTTTTTTGAGAATATTTTTGTGAAACTGATTTTAACCAAAAAAAATTTTTGTGAATAGTGTATTACACAGCACATTCCACCTCTGTATGTAATTATAATGGTTTTTTATTCATAATCTTTTATCTTTTAACCAGGAGTCGTAAGAAAAGTATCCTTGCTCTGTTTAAATTTCAGTTTAAGTTTTCTTTTTAGTCTGTACATATATTACCCAGGTTTGCCTTGGTTCAATAAGAAATTATTAGACCTCTTTCAAACTTGAGCAAAGGGAAGTGCTTGATGTTTGCAGTGAGTATTATACTTTATTTCCTGTTGTATGACTTTTACAGTATTTGTGCAAAATTTTAATTTTTGTCATTAAATGGTTTTCAGCGGGTACCTTCTAATGCTTCATGGGAACAAGCTATGAAAATGATCATTAATGACCCAAGATACAGGTAATACTTGAAGTTTTTTATTTACTTTTCCAACTCTAGCAAATTCACAATTGTGTAAAATAGTGTAACTTCTGACTTTGTCTTCTGTTATTTTGGATACCAAGAATAGTTGTTTTATGTCAGATATGAACCAAAAAGCTTCTCATTCAATTTGAGTACAGATGAAATTAGAAGTTTTTGTAAAAGAGAAATTATTCTCTGTAATCATTTCTTAATTTTTTATATCTTATTGAAATTTTCTTGATTTGTGAAGTCATTTTTTTCTTCAAAGTATTGACATTTGATCATCCTGCTTTCATTTACTCTTATATGGTATATTTCTCTTTAGTGCTTTAGCAAAGTTGAGTGAGAAAAAGCAGGCTTTTAATGCTTACAAAGTCCAGACAGAAAAAGAAGAAAAAGAAGAGGCAAGATCAAAATACAAAGAGGCCAAGGAATCCTTTCAACGTTTCCTTGAAAATCATGAGAAAATGACTTCCACAACCAGATACAAGTAAGATATTTAGTAATGCATAGTGTGTGTTTATTGCACTGTTTTTGTTTTTTTTTTTAAAGATTTTATTTATTCATGAGAGAGACAGAGAGAGAAAGAGGCAGAGACACAGGCAAGAGGGAGAAGCAGGCTCCATGCATAGAGCCCGACGTGGGACTTGATCCCGGGTCTCCAGGATCATGCCCTGGGCTGAAGGTGGCGCTAAACTGCTGAGCCACCCAGGGATCCCCTATTGCACTGTTTCTATATCAGACTTTGCCAAGTACAGTACCTCACCCAAAGTAGATGCTTATTAAAGCTAAATGGGTAGGAGCGTGGCAGTTTCATAAGGTACAAGATAAATCAGAAGTTAAATGTGGAATTTAACGTATTGACTTCCTGAATTATTAATTAGAGACTAGAACAATAGAGGGGTAGACAGTGTAATAATTAAAGCCTGACTTCTTTAATATAAAAATTGAGGGATGCCCGGGTGGCTCAGATGGTTAAGCATCTGACTCTTGATCTCAGCTCATGTCTTGCTTTCAGGGTAGTGAGTTGAAGCCCCACATTGGGGGTGGGGAGAGCTTCAACTCCACACTGGGCATGGTGTCTACTTAAAAAAAAAAGGAATATATATATATATGATACATATATAACGTTTTTGCAATAAATTACGTGCTTCCTTATTTTCCTCAGTCTTCTAGAAAAGCATTAGTTGAAGATTCTTCATTTCTTTAAATAGTCCTATTTTATGTATTAACTAAATTTCTGGCATCTTTTTGAAGTCTATGATTTAGTTCCATGGATAGTTCTTTAGTGTCTGTAGCTACCCTAAAAAATACAGTCTTGACTAGAAAACATGGCGCAATTAGAACTTAGGCGCTCCTTGGGGTGCCTGGATGACTCAGTAGATTATACATCCAACTCTTGGATTTGGCTCAGGTCATGATCTCAGGGTCATGAGATGGAGCCCCCCCCCCCCCCCCCATCAGGCTCCTCGTTAGCAGACATCTCTTTGGGATTCTCTTTCCTCCCTCTGCCCCTCCCGCCTCTCCCTCACCTTCTCTCATTCTCCCTCCCTCTCTCTCTCTCACAGATAAATAAATCTTAAAAAAAAAAAAAACCCACCTCATCTCTAGGGAGAAATGGAGGCCTAAGCTATTTTGTTCTTTTCTTAATTATCCAAAAGATTTTCTATATAATATACTCATGAACTTATAGTGTTCATTGGGTGGTTCTAAACTTAATATACAGTTAATGTACTTAATATCCAATTAAAGTACTTAATATACAATATAAAGTGCTCAATATACTTAATATATAATAGCTTAAAAATAATTTTTATTGAGTAATATATAATACAGGGTAACATTTAATTTTTTTAATAGAAAAGCAGAGCAAATGTTTGGAGAGATGGAAGTCTGGAATGCAATATCAGAACGTGATCGTCTTGAAATCTATGAAGATGTTTTATTCTTTCTTTCAAAAAAAGAAAAGGTATTATCCACTCTTAATTATTGGTGTTTATAGATATAACAAGGTATTTCTTCATTCTGATTAGGAGTTACTTTATAACACTCATTTTTGTTGTTTGGTTTATTCACTTTATGTGGTGTAGCAGATCTCAATATTAGAAGTGGATAGCTCCTGTAATAGTAGATATTGATGTGGACACACTAGGTATGGAATTATTCAATTGTTACTTGAGTTGTCATTAATCGGCTGTCTTACGCCAACTTTGAAAGATACTTTCTTTTTAAGCTCATTAGGTTTTTAAAATACTCAGTATTTTTGTTTATATTGCATTTCTATATATTTTCTATACAAGAACAGTAGTAATATATAATTGTTACCACTAAAATGTGCTTGCACGACGATAGTATTTTAAAACACCTTGTTATCTATTTTATTACTCAATAAGTTGTGTCTCATTCAGTCTTAAAGAGATTTATAGAAATGTAAGTATTAACAAAAATTGAACATAACTAAAAGTGGTTGGAGACTGTGGCATTTACCTAATGCGTGACTTGTCAAGAGTAACTTTCATTTTACATTCTGTTGATGCATAGTTCTATAGGAAGAGAGATTTATGGAATTGTTGGGGAGATAGGGTTCCCAGAATCCAGATTCTTAGGAGAAAGGTAAAAGAAAAATTGAAGGTAAGCAGTTACCAAGCCAAACACTTTGACAAGACCACTGGAAAAGTAGTGTTGGTATTAAAAGTAAATGGATAACATGAAACTTGAGCATCACTTAGAATTTGATTGCAGTTCAAATACTATACTTTCTTTGAATCTCAAAACGTGTATTCATTCTTTTGATTTAGGAGCAAGCAAAGCAGTTACGAAAGAGAAATTGGGAAGCCTTAAAAAATATACTTGACAACATGGCTAATGTAACATACTCTACTACCTGGTCTGAAGCCCAACAGTATCTGATGGATAATCCAACTTTTGCAGAAGATGAGGAATTACAAAGTAAGACTAGTGACTAAATGGGAGAAAGTTTTTTATTCTTTTTTATTTTTTATTTTTTTATTTTATTTATGACAGGCACACAGTGAGAGAGAGAGAGAGGCAGAGACACAGGCAGAGGGAGAAGCAGGCTCCATGCACCGGGAGCCCGATGTGGGATTCGATCCTGGGTCTCCAGGATCGCGCCCCGGGCCAAAGGCAGGCGCCAAACCGCTGCGCCACCCAGGGATCCCGGGAGAAAGTTTTTTAAAGTCAACAGCGAAGAATTCTCACTTTTTTTATGAGATTACTAAATGAATTTTTATACAATTGTTTGTCTATTCCTTTTTTTTTTTTTCTAAGGTGAGGGAGAGCTAGAGGGAAAGGGCGAGAGGGAGAGAATCTTCACAATCTTGAGAACATGACGTGAACTGAAATCAGAAGTCAGATGCTTAACTAACTGAGCTACTACTACCCAGGCAGTCTCTGTCCATTACCAATAGAGTGTTTTGTTGATTTCCTTTCATTATTCAGGAAGAAAATATTAGCTTTATCAGATAATCCTTAAAGTATGTTTGTCATAGATAAACATGAAATTATTTTTGCCATTTTTATGTAATTTAGTAAGAATCCGATTAATTACCACAGTTTTACTCATACTGTCTCCTTGAGGTAATGGCTTTAGAGTTTTGCAAACACCAAAAAAAAATGTATTAGTATTATCATGCCTTAAGCTTCCCCAGGTTCTTTTTCTGACTGACTTCGTTGCTTTTTAAATTATAGCTTTCTGGATTACCCCTCTGAATACTGTGCTTTTATTCAGTAGGTGTGGGGTAGGGCCTAAAATTCTATCCTGTGAAAAAAGCTCCTTAGGTAGTGCTAATGTTGCTGACAAATTTTACAGTAACAGTTTTATTTCCCTTAATTGTGTCTTGTCACATGGTCTTTCTTTCACCCTCAAATTCAAGATATCTTTTAATGAGGTTGTTTTGGAATTTTTTTAAAAACATATTTTCTAGTTAGATGATTACAAGTTATATTTGAGTTTAATTATAAGTATTTTGGAAAGCTGATTTTGAAATTTATAGGAAGTTAATGTAATAAACTGCTTTCCTTACTGATACTGGACATTTTAATTTTTCTTTAACTGTAAAAATCTCTAGACATGGATAAAGAAGATGCATTAATTTGCTTTGAAGAACACATCCGAGCTTTAGAAAAGGAAGAAGAAGAAGAAAAACAGAAAAGTTTGCTGAGAGAAAGGAGACGACAGCGGAAAAATAGAGAATCTTTTCAGGTAAATTAAGTCTCTTCTCTAGCTTTAATTTCTTACCATAGTTTGTGAACTTAAACAATAATAGAAACAATTTTGAGACCCCTTTATCCCAGATCATTAGGCTTTGTGAAGGATCCATACACATTTAACTCAAGTGCTACAATTAGTTTTGGATGCATCTAAGGAAAACAGCCATTTTAGGCCAGGGGAACATAAGAGGCTATAGCAGATTTGATATTTAGCACTGATAAGTCAATTAAGGTTTCATCTGGGAAAGAGGAATTGCATGATAGAAGACTGAAAAGAAAGTATGTGTGATGACTGATTCATAGTAGTTGATATTTAGATATTTAGTGTGTAGAGAAGAGTATAGTACGGGGTATGTAATTTTGGGATAGGCCATAGTTCTTAAACACTATAGAAGACGAAATTATGTATCCTTTATATAGGCCAGTGGTTCATTTTCACCTCCAGATACCACTTTTATCCTCTCATTAATAGGGAACATCATTTTTACATTTTGTGTTTCACCAGATTGCCCATTTCAATAATTACATTACTAGCAACATTAATTGCTTACTGCTATACGTTTTAGATTGATAATCACTTAAATTTTATTACAGCCTTATGAGAGTTGGGTAATATTTTTGTTATGTCCATTTATACAAGGAAATTGACTTAGGTGAAGTGACTTAACCAAATTCGACGACTGATTAGTGGTGCCAGAATTTGAATCTATACAGTCTTAATTACAAAATCTCTTCCATTAAACATTCTATGAAGATTTTTTTAAGATTTTACTTATTTCTTTGAGAGCGTGAGATCACCAGCAGGGAGGAAAGGCAAAGGGAAAAGCAGACTTCCTGTTGAGTAGAGAACCAGATATGGGGCTCATTCCTAGGACCCCAGTATCATGACCTGGGCTGAAGGCAGATGCTTAAAGGACTGAGCCAGCCAGATGCCCAACACTGTATTAAGATAAATGCTAAATTACAGTGACTTGAACAGACTTATTTCTCCTTTAATGATAATTTTTTGGTGTAGAGTTGTGCCCATTGCCATTTCCTAAGGTAGTAATTCTCACAAATTTGTGTGCATCTGAATTACCAAGTAATCCCTGCCCGGTGTGGGGCTTGAACTCACAACCCCAAGATTAAGTGTCACATGCTCTACCAATGGAGAGCCAGGCATCCCACCTAGAGGGCTTTTAAAATAAACTCTTTATGTCATGCGGAAGGTCACTTAAATCATCTTAAATGACATAGTCAATAGCATTACTTCAGTCCTTATTCCTAAAACTTTAGTATTTATTAATCTTATGGGTTCTTTTATTATAGTGGTTTCCTATAAGGATCATGCAAAATATTCTTAGAACTACATGTTTCTTGAGCTTCACCCCTAGAATTTGATTTACTAAGTCTAGGGTGGGTGGGTTCCGAGAATATATATTTCTAGGAGGTTTCTAGGTGATAGTGATGCTTCTGGCCCATACTTCGAGAATTGTCCTGGGCCATTAGCATTCTATTCATGTTTAGGAGTTTGTTGTCCACATTATCAGATTTCAGCTTGAAAGAAGTTGAAAGGACAGTTTGTTTTTGTTTTTGTTTTTTAAAACAGTGATTAGAAGTTTTACTCTACTTCATAGTTAGCTGCTGAGAATTTAGTCTCATTGCTGTAAGTAAAAACAAAGGAGGCTAGAAAACGTAGATTTTAACTGAGTAGCCTTGTGCCTAGGAAGAACATATTTTTAGGTTTTTTAATATTCTGCAACTGTTGAGCTTTAATGGCTCTTAAGGTTTTGCAGTGGTTTAAAATAAGACCTAAGGTAATCTAGGTTACAGAAAATAGATTTGGTAATCTTCAAAATCATTGCTATATACTGATGACCTATCTTAGTTCAGACGAACCACATTTCATGTACTTTAAGCTACATTTGACCTGTGTCTACTATATTGAACAGTGCAGACATAGAAATTTTAACAGAATTTTGAGCCATAGGTCTTTAGAGATATTTATTCAGTTAAACACCCGAAGGATTTGGGGAAGCAGGATGTGTAAATTGTTGAGTATAAAAGCCCCAGTATGTTGCCCTGAAAATCAGCAAATAAGGAAAAAGGATAAAGAAGAGAAATTAGAATAAGCACATAGATTTAGATTTAGGGTATAAATTTAACATAGAAGAAAGGAAATCGGTTTTTAAATCAGATATGTGGTTGAGTCTCGGTTCTTCAAACTACTGTATTACTTCAGTAAAATTCATGGGCTTAAAGATCCATATTTGTTAATTAAAAATTAAAAAACAAAACCAGCCCAAACACGTTGGGTACTACATCTGAAAACAAAAAGTGTGTTTTACAGGAAACATGTAACACATTCTTTAGCATCATCATTAGAGACAGTACCCAATATTTCTCCTTAACTTTGTGTGTGTGTAACTAAACTGAAATGATGTTCCATCTTAAGGGACAATAAACTGAAGTCTGGAAAATAATATAGCTTTTCAAAGATCCTTTTCTCTGAAGCGCAGAAGAGAATTTTGCCTAAAAGCAGATTTTATTTTCATCAAAGAGCAATATTCTTTGTACCTTACACATATTTGGGATACATTGGTACAAGAGTTTCAAATATTGCTGTTTTTAGTGTGTTTTCATGTTACACTAATATTTCTAATGTCCTTAAAGATGACTTTTCAGTATAATTGGTTTTTGTTATTGTTGGCTTTTCCCTCCCCAGATATTTTTAGATGAACTGCATGAACATGGACAACTGCATTCTATGTCATCTTGGATGGAATTGTACCCAACAATTAGTTCCGACATTAGGTTTACTAATATGCTTGGTCAGCCGGGTGAGATTCTTTTCTTCCCAATTTATAGTTATGATAGTAGTTGGAATGGGCCAGAGAGACAGGTGGCTGTGCTGGGGAATGGAGGGGTGCTTTATTTTGTTTTATAAACAAAAAAGTAATTGCAGCTCTTTGGTTAGAGCTAGCTTTTGACTTCTTTAGTTTTTTCATTAGGATCTACTGCACTTGACCTTTTCAAGTTTTATGTTGAGGATCTTAAAGCACGTTATCATGATGAGAAGAAAATAATAAAAGACATTCTAAAGGTAAACACTACACTTACTATTTACTGTTAATCTCCAGTATATTTTAAGTCGATATTGTGTTCCTTTTTTTTTATGTATTATTGTTGTTAACAAGGTTTCTCTTTCTTAGGATAAAGGATTTGTAGTTGAAGTAAATACTACTTTTGAAGACTTTGTGGCCATAATCAGTTCAACTAAAAGATCCACCACATTAGATGCTGGAAACATTAAGTTGGCTTTCAACAGTGTAAGTTATCAGCTCTTCTATGGAAAACAACTACTTTTGTACGGTTTTTAATATATTCAGCTAAAAGTACTTAAGCTGTAGGCTCCCGAATTAAAGGAATACAGCTAGAATTTTACTGAAAAGTAAAATAAAATAATGTATTTAGATGATTGGCTAATGATGAAGTTTCCTTTGCTCAAATTAAATTGTGTTTTAAGTTGGCTCATAACTTATAAATGATGAGAGAATGCTTAAATTAAGAACGAATTACTTCAATTGTACTATTATAACTGGTTAAATATGATTTTATAAAAGTTACTAGAAAAGGCAGAAGCCCGTGAACGCGAACGAGAAAAAGAGGAGGCTCGGAAGATGAAACGAAAAGAATCTGCATTTAAGAGTATGTTGAAACAAGCTACTCCTCCAATAGAATTGGATGCTGTCTGGGAAGATGTATGTATAATTGTAAATTGTTTCTAATGATCTTTTTCCTTTACAATTGAAGATAAAAATATCTTTAATTCCCCTCCCATTTTATAGCCTCAAAAAGAAGCTGAAGTAGAGTATACATTGAATATATTGAGAATATTTAAAAGTTTAAAGTCAGCTCTGACCCTGCATTTAGGAATATTTATTAAAAAATGATTTGGACTTCAGAGGAAAAGAAATCCTTTGAGAGGATGGGGCTGTGACCTTTACTACTGGCTATTGTGATTCTTATTAGCCATATTGGTATACTTCTCTTGTTATTCATGTGTTCATATCTGAATGTTTCAGATCCGGGAGAGATTTGTAAAAGAGCCAGCATTTGAGGACATAACTCTAGAGTCTGAAAGAAAACGAATATTTAAAGATTTTATGCATGTGCTTGAGGTAATTTTAGTATTCTTGTAATTAATTCGACTGTTACAAAATACATAAGAATAGAAGCCCAAATTGAATTAAAATTGATCAAAGTTTGTTTCTTAAATTATACTGCTTTTTTTATTATACAGCTTCTATACAAATGTCATTTACCTGAGATGGTTAAGGAAATGATTTTTCTATAGAAACTGCCTTTGAGCATAAGAAACTAAGTTTGCACGTGAACGTAAGATGTGTTTGTGGAGAGAGTTCATACTTATGTTTTTACAGTGTTTTAGAAATTCAACAATTTAGCAGCCTCCTATAATGACTTTGGTAAATCTAAAGAAAACTTAAATAGCTTTTAAGCACGCATTTCAAATATTACACTATGTTAGATGTGTTCAATGCTCAGGGAGATCTGGAAATAATGGAATAAGTAAGTCTGTGTTAAAATAAGTAATGATAAAATTGCAAGTTACTCCATTAGCTGAATAAGAGTATTTTGATGAAGATTTTAGGTGTAGGTACTTGTATATAGTAAATATGCTAAATTGACCAGTAATTACTCAATAGAATTTGGTGCCTATGTGGGTCCAGACACTGTTCTAACAGTTTTACAAACACACACTACATATATGAACTTAATCCTCACAACAACTCTGTGAAGTTATAGATGAGCAGACCGAGGTAAAGAAAAGTAATTTGAAGGGAAAAGATTCCAGCCCAGGCTGTTTGACTCCAGGGTTAATGCTTTTAACAAATAACACTACCCTGCCAGTTCTGGACATAGTGATACTTTGTAACACATTGAAAGCTGGCATATATTTAACATTAGAGTGTTGGCATGGTATGGTCATTGGTCACTCACTGCAGGTCACTTAACTGTCCACTGTTTCCTTGGATTTCTTGTTCTTGATGAATTTCATTGTTAACATGCATCCACATGCATCTTTATTTTCTCCTAGCTGCCTCAAGATCCAGCCCTCTTGGCCTCTAGGTCTCTTCAAAGCTGGGAGCTTGTTAGACATTCAGAATCTCAGGCCGCATTGGCAGAAATCCTGTATCAGAATCATCATTTCAATAAGAATCTAAAGCACTCGAATAGAATGTACATTTGTGAGAAGCTCTGCTCTAATTAGTGTCTTAACATTGTCTCCCAGTTCATAATCAACATTAAAATTCTCTGGTGATCTGTATTGGGAACGTGCTGAGGTCGTAAATGGTCATAAGGAAGAGGCTCTTCCTCTGGAAGAGGAATAAGTTTTGTGATCCTAGTAATCTGAGCTTTTGAGTTAGAAGAGGAGGAAAAATTCAGCATTCAGTGACAGTAAAAGGAGCTTTCCTTCTTAGATATTTAATTTCCATTTACTTGTAAACTGAAGCAGAATTATTTTAAAGGCCATAGATGTTTGGGGGCAAGGAGCTTTTTTACTGCAGCATTAATAAATGAATTAAAATCCACAGAGACCTTTCCTTTTTTGATTTGATGTGGTGTTAGATTAGAGTCAGATTGTCTTTGGAGTTCTTAATGTTTGACTAAGAAGGGAATGCTCCTTGGTAGAGAGAAAAAAGGATTAGATTTTGCTTTATTCTGAGTGCGTCATTTATCTTGGTCAAGGATAACTCTGAGGTAGTTCATTTTCGTGGTGCTAATAATAATAAGCCTAGCCAGATTCATCATAAAAATCATGTCTGACTGTAATTTCATTTCATTGGTTTTTAAAGCAATGTGCCTGTTCTACAGGTGATACTTTTCTGAAGTATATCACTTGTCCCTACTATAGCATACCATTCTCATTCCTTTTTTTTTTTTTTTAATTTTTTTTTTTTTTTTTTTTTTTTATTTATGACAGTCACAGAGAGAGAGAGAGGCAGAGACACAGGCAGAGGGAGAAGCAGGCTCCATGCACCGGGAGCCTGATGTGGGATTCGATCCCGGGTCTCCAGGATCGCGCCCTGGGCCAAAGACAGGCGCCAAACCACTGCGCCACCCAGGGATCCCCCATTCTCATTCCTATAAGAAGTGCTTTCTTTCATATTTGTTCTGTTTAGATGTTGAAATGAGTCAGAATGGGATGGTTAGGAAGGAACAGAACATTTTAACTGACAACTGCAGCTTCATGAAAGTACATCCTAAATGTGCAAAATGAACGAAATTTTCACTCTAATAACTTATTTTTATAGCATTAAAGATTCTTCACAATCTGCTGTCTGAAGTCAATGTTAACTTTTGAAAATCTTTTCCTTTTGCACCTGTAGCATGAATGTCAACATCATCATTCAAAGAACAAGAAACATTCTAAAAAATCTAAAAAACATCACAGGAAACGTTCCCGCTCTAGATCGGTAAGGAAGTTTATCATGACACTATAAGTGTATTGGCACTGTAAGTGTATTGAAGTATTTGTTAATAACATCATTATGGATGAAATTATGTGTATTTTATAGGGATCAGATTCAGATGATGACGACAGCCATTCAAAGAAAAAAAGACAGCGATCAGAGTCTCGGTCTGCCTCAGAACATTCTTCTAGTGCTGAATCTGGTAAGCATTTCTTTTAACTTGCCATTGGTTAAGTGCCCAATGCTTGGTTTCAGCTCAGGTCTTGATTTCTCCTGGATTGAACCCTTGTCTGCCGAAGACTTATCTCCCTGCCTACTCCCTGCCCCCTAGCATTAGCGCTCAGAAATTAAAGAAAAAAAGGTATTGGCACTTGGATGTCCTCAAAGTCAGACATTTTTTTCTTTTCATGCTGCTTAGAGAGAAGTTACAAGAAGTCAAAAAAGCATAAGAAGAAAAGCAAGAAGAGGAGACATAAATCTGTAAGCAAGCTTTAATTTTTATACTGCCCCTAGCTTTAGCCCTTATCTTATTCAGTGGCGATAGAACCCTTTTCTGTCTACTCCTGTGCAGTCTAGCACAGTTCTAGTGGACACCTGAACTCAGGAATTACATCATTTGTCTTCACCATAATCTTCCATTAAAACCTTCCGGTGAACTTTTAAAATAAACACACATCAGTGTTAAGATTCCCACTCTGGCTTTTTAAAGCAATCTTAGAGAAAGACCCAAGTGTTTGTGTATGTCTTGCAGTTGTGGTGAGAATCTTAAGTCTAAATGTTCACCTCCTTCTCTACTCTTAGTTCTTAATTTTACGTATGTATCAAGATATCCTAAGGAGGTTTTTTTGAAACATAAGTGAGTAGGTGTTTATTACCTATTGAGATTTTTTTTCCTTCGTGCCACTCACTCGAATTTGTACATATCTAATAAAGGATCAATTATTTAGGCAGTGACATTGCCATTTCTTTTTAATTTTTTTGACATTGCCCTTTAAATCCTGCTTTTTGGGGCACCTGGGTGGCTCAGTCGGTTAAAAGTCCATCCAGCTCTTGATTTCTGCTCAGGTCATGATCTCCAGGATTTAAGTTCAGGTTCTGTACTCATCATGGAGTCTGCTGAAGATTCTCTTTCTCCCTTTCCCTTTGTCCCTCCCCTTGCTCTCTCTAAATAAATAAACTCCTTTAAAATAAATAATCCTGCTTTTCAGTTATAGTTTTGAGAGAGGAATTTTATTATATGATGGTCAACCTATTAGGTGATTAACCTAATCACAGCATTCTGTACACATAGCTGAACAAAAAAACCAATATTTTATTGGGTTGGTGGAAAGTGTGATGTTTGTCTACTTTTACATTATAGGCATACTCCCATTTTGTATGCTTCCCTACTTTAGTGAAACTCTTTCGATGTTAAAATGTCACCCTTCCCAAAGGATAGACAGACTCCCTCCATTGAATCTTGGATATGTTCCAGAATCCTTGAGGTTACTAGTTCAGATTTCACTGCACTAGGAACACATGCCCTATGATAATATATAATATATAGATGTTCTTAAATATTATCTATATGGTTTTCTTCATCAAAATGCTAATGTTATTTTTTATTTACATAGGACTCTCCAGAGTCAGATGCTGAGCGAGAGAAGGATAAAAAAGAAAAAGACCGAGAAAGTGAAAAAGATAGAACTAGACAAAGATCAGAATCAAAACACAAATCACCTAAGAAAAAGACTGGAAAGGATTCTGTAAGTATTCAGAATTATTTCATACCTGGGTTTCCAGAATAGAAAAAATAGATACTGTGGTTAGTATGACATTGATTGACTTTTTCTAGGTTAGCTACCATTTGAAGAAAATGAAGAAAATTTAAAGAATATAAGAGACTCAGATCAGGGTTTCTCAGATCACGGGTTCTCCAGATACACACTAAGTTCAGTTTCAAAATGTTAACTTTGTAGGAGTAATCATTGTGAGAGAAGAGGTAAGGGCAGAGGGATAGGAGGGGACTAAAAGCCAAAGTTAACATTTTAATATCAAATTAGTCTTTAATTTCTCACGTGTGTGTGTGTGTGTGTGTGTGTGTGTGTGTGTAAACGACAGCACAGTAACACCGATTGTCTTAGCCTTGCCATTCTTCCACAAATACTGTGAACTTAACAGGAGTAATGCTACTAAATCAACCTATGACCATCCCTTTAGTGTTTTAATTCAGTTGATATGAAGGTTCTTTTTAAAAGCTGCCCTGGTGAGTTTCATGCACATCCTTGGTGAAGAATGAAGATTTTCTGAATACTTAATAACAGCGTTTAACAATAACAGCGTTTAACAGTTTGTTCTTTGTAACCAGTTAAATGAAATCTCTGAAGGAAGGAGAATAGATGAACTATCTACTTTTTAAAGATTGTTTTTCACAAATACAATATTTAAGTGTTCTTCAGACTATTGCCCTGCTCATAAATTTTAAATGTTTATTCTCATAAATCTTAAATGTTTATCTAAGGATAGTATGTTTAAAGGATAATACTTGGAGCACCTGGGTGGCTCAGTGGTTGAACACTTGCCTTTGGCTCAGATCCCGATCCTGGGATCCAAGGATCCAGGGTTCGAGTCCCACATTGGGCTCCCCAGAGGGAGCCTGCTTCTCCCTCTGCCTGTGTCTTCTTTTGCCGCTGTGTTTCTCATGAATAAATAAAATCTTTTTTTTTTTGTAAAGATTTTATATATGTATGTATTTATTCATGAGAGATCCAGAGAGGCTAAATAAAATCTTTAAACATAATACTTGTTTGTAATATAAAATACTTAGGTGACCTGGAATCTACAAAATTAGCAAGGAATATAGTGCTTTAGGTTATGAACACTGGCTTCATTAAATGGAAACAAAATGTTTCACATTCAGAGGTGTTAGAGGAAGGGAAAGAAACCATTGTGTACCTTTCTGCCTGATTTACATATTAATGCAACCTGAAAGCACCAAAGTTCACTATGTCCCCTAATAAAGCCAGAGAATGGTTAGCAACTCATTAATAGGCTTTTGGGAGAGAGGTCAGTCCTAAACCCTCTGGTGAGCAGCTTGTTTCTGTGGAAGAGAATCCATATACATTTTGATTGCCTTTTCTTTTTTTTTTTCAAAAGTTCAATACTACTAACCTTTTGAGTACTGACATAAGATGTAATCCTATTCAATGTCTTTTCAGGGGAATTGGGATACTTCTGGCAGTGAACTGAGCGAAGGGGAATTGGAAAAGCGCAGAAGGACCCTTTTGGAGCAACTGGATGATGATCAATAAACTATACCAAATATATGTTTACAGTATGATTTAAAGTCTAATTCAGACCAGGGACTCTATTTTAAAGTTCAATTGAAATAAAACACTGGGTTTTAATTATATCACAGGAAAAAAAAAAGTGCATTTAAGTATTGTTATTGTGGACTTTATAAAAGCAAAGGAAACTGAAAATAACTTTTGATTCTGTATCAAGAATCATATTTTCATATGGTCATAACTGTCTTTCTGTGACCCTTTCATAGGGCACTGCAGGATGGATTAAAGGTGGCAATTTACTGATAACTGCAGATGTCTCTACTTTGTTCTGAAGTCTAAGTCATGAGGCGATTTGATTTACTTTATAGAAGTTGGATTTTGAAGATATAATGAAAAATTTTTTGATACTTAGTAGTACAAAAAAAGCACCAGCAACTGATAAAACTGCTTTTTTGTGCACTACCCAACTGGTTCCGATATGATCTTTTATGGTGAACTCAGAAATAGGTGTTCTTAATGGAAACCTGTCAGACCCTTAACTAACTATAGCGGTGCTAAGGAGCACTACTATAATAAAGCCACCATTATTTTTTATGAAACATCTGAATACATTTTAAAAAAAAGGCTGTTGTGAGGGCATTATTTTGAGGTGATGTTTAAAAAGTTAACATCAAATCAAATTGTAAATTAGTTTAAATATATTGCCTTAAGAACCTACTAAAGAATGTGCCACCAGACTTTAAGTGATAGTTGCAATATCCTTGTCTGAAACAAAAATCAATGTTGACTTAAACATTTTCTTTAACAGTTGTCTTTTTTTTTTTTTTTTTTTTAATCCGAGCTTTTGCTTTTTTTCCATTGAGGAAGTCTTTTACCTTCCCTACTCACTGAGAAGTATTGACTTCGTGGTACACATTCTAAAGCATTTCTGATTTGAATATTTTTGTACATTTTTATCAATTATTAAACCTTCTCTTCTAGCGTGTACTAGTATTTATTTCTACTTAAACTACTCAGTTTAAAAAATTGTATGATCATTTAAAGATACTAAATCCTTGGAATTTTACTTCATCTAACCCACATAGCTAGGTTACTTTTCCTTTTTAATATTTAAGAATGTTACAAGTCAGTACATTTCAGGCCCCTGTAATTTGTTTTTGATCTACAAATTTCCTATAGAAAACTTTAGAGAGGCATTGGTTTGAAGCTAGAATACTCTTTACATGCTAACTTTTTGAAGGTTGGTAATGTAATTTATACTATTTTCCTTCAGTGCAGGAGATTTTTTTAATAAGTAAATTTCAGCATATAGTCTTTGGCATTAGGTATTTTTTTATTTTGGACACTTTGAGCAATCCTATTTCAAGTTGGGATTTAGAAGAACGAAAAGTTCATTTTATTTGAGAAGTTCAGATGACCAGGACTACTCTTTCCCATCTCTGCCCACTGTTTCAATTAAATCTAGCATCCACTGTTGAAAAACAAAAAAGGGGGCGGGCAGGGAGTTATTTCTAAACTTTTCTCTGCCAAATCATTTTTCTGCTGTGAAAAACTGACATGACTGTGGAAAATGAGAATCACTATCCTTAGAAGATGTGAAATAATCAAGTTGCTTGCTTGAGGTTTAGTCTTTTATTGTATATTAGAACCAAAATAACAACTTTGGCAACAGGGAGTTTGTCTAGATTTACTTTTCAGAGGTCTCATAATGATAGTTAATATTGCTAATCATGTCAAACACTTGACATGGAAGTCAGTGGCAAAATCTAAATGCGCATATGATATTGGCAGAAATACTAGTGGTGTTTCATAAGAGAATTTATTTAGAATCTGTAAAATTTTGTTTTAATTCCATGAATGATTTTTTTAAGTGCAACTTTAAAGTTTTAATTTTTCTATTTAAATAAAAAGTTATTGATATGTTTTAGTATGTCCTCAAAATAGATTTCTGTATTTCTTAGAGACCCTGTCTTACCACCTCAAATCCCTACAATACAAATTCAAGTTTCTCTATAGTTCATCCATGAAAATATTTGACCTAAAAACAAAACTGATAAATGGCAACTTAAAATACAACATTGTTATTATAAAAGATGTAATTGAAGTGACAATAATCCTGTCTACCTTCAATGATCCCATCAAATGGGATTTAGTTACCAAAAGGTACTGTACTGTGAAGGCACAGATGATGGGAAGATTTTGTAATAGCAAGAGCTCTGTGTGAATATTTTTAACCTCTTAGGTCAGGTTTCTAAATCTTCAGTCTGGTAAAAGCTGAAATGTCTTAGAATACTGATTCTGTTAGAGTTAAACAGAGTTCAAAAAGGAGTCTGAACAAATGTGTTCAAATAGGAAAGTGTTTATTTTCAAATAAGGGGAATTTACGTTTCAGTTAAGCATCAGACTCTTTGGTAAATGTTGAGGGTTTTCTTCCCTCTGTATCATTAATATTAAGTTATTGGATCACATTTACTAATTACATTTAATATCATAAAAGTCAAAATCAGAATCTCTAATATTTGATGTTTTCGTTTTCTCCCAGTCCAGTAATTCCTGTATGGGAAAACTGAATTTGTGTGAAAAGTTAGTCAAGTATGAATTCTTTGCACTTTCCCAAATTTACTTAAATTACTTAATGCTTTTAAATAAAAGCAACGGTCTTTTTTTTTTTTTTTTTTTAAACACATCAAGGGTATGTCATTATTACCCAAAGCAGCTTTGGCATATATTCCTGTTTTTCAACAATAAAAACTTCATTTTTATGCCTTCCAGTAAATATGAAAATGATCAAAATGTCACAGCTTGACTTTTGCTCATTGGACCTCCTTTTATACAGCTATAAGATAAAAATGGCCTAGAAAAAGGCCTTTAATTCATAGGGTAGAGTGAAGAAACTATAAAAACTGAGACATCTCTGTACGTTCTTTTAGAAAGTTCATAATTTTCTTTACCAAAGGGCTTGTATTGTGTTGAGAAACATTTGCCTAGATGTGATCCTGGCAGCCACTTTTCTCCTCTTTGCATCCAGAAAGGGGTAGACCTAGAAAGTTTTTTTTTTTTTTTTTTAAAGCTTAGATGCTATTTGAGAGAGAACGGTTTCTAATCAGATAGTACCCAGGGAAGAGTTATGAATGCTATAAATTTACAGAATATTTAAGAATATTATGTGATTTAAATGTAAATTACAAAACTAAGGAACCAAATAAACATTTCCAAAAGCAAAATGAGGCAAAGCACATTAATTCCTTGTATCTTAAAAATCAGACTTTTCTTTTCCCTTGGGTATGTGTCTCTCTCAGTATCAGATACAATTTTAATTCTTTTACATTCTCTAAGTAAAGCCACTCATTTTACATAAAGGAAAAGCAAAGTGTCATGAGTAATTTTTCATGGAATTGTGTTCTATATAGGACTTACAATTTTATGGTTTTTGGTAATGGTATATACAAGTCTAATAATTCTTTATTAAATCTTACCTTGCTCTTAAGTTTTTCAGTTGTTTTAACTTAAATGGTGGTCAGGTTCCTTGGAAACAGGGATTTGTTTCATTTACTGCTATATTCTGTGGACTAGAACGGTGCCTGGCACATTGTAGGCAATTATTGAGTGAATGTAAAATGCTGGTTGACAAGATACACTCATCCACAGTACACAGCATGATCGCAGTAGTGTACTAACCCACAACTAAAGCCGTTCTGGTTCTGGTGGCTGTGTCTTAACAGCTTTTGCTACAAAAGTTTCCAAAAGCTTGTTAGAACGTGTAACCATGTGGTTTCTGAGTAGGAAAGGAAATACCTTATGATTTGAAATGTTTTTCATATTCATGAATTAAGATATAGTAGTTTAAAAGTAGTAACTTCTCTTTGAAGAGCTAGCTTTTAGCTAGATCAGAGATAGTCTTTAAAGGCCATGCTTGGAAAGAACAGCAAAATTGCCAAATTCTAAATTGAGAACTAATGATTTCAGGCTATTTCCAACAAAGGATGAGGTATGGGAATTGAGAAGATTCTGTTCCCCAAGTACCTCACCATGCCCCTCAATCCTCCATTTAGCCGGTCTCCCTGCCTCAGTTCCTTAATTGTAGATTTTCTGTGCTTTTAAAACTTAGTATATAAAAACAGCTTTTGTGACTCAATAGGATCTGTGCTAAAAGCCATCTCATTATTGTTCATGATTGGTAATTGCCCCAGGAGTAACGGCCTAGGTTGACGTGTGCATTTCAGGGGAACTAGCCAGCAACCCCCCCCCCCAGCCCAGTTTTCATTCATAGACTAAAACAATGGTTGCCTAATGAGATCATGATCCAACTAAGCCATTTCTTGAGGCCCTTGTATGCTGTTCCTCAGGGTCTCTAAAATGTGCTATTTATAAATAGTCCTTTATTTTGGTCCTGCCTGAAACTTGTGGTGGGTTTGTTTTCTTGCCTGCCTCTCTACAACTAAACTGAAGATTTGTTCTGAAAGGTGAGTAATAAACAGGTTTCTATTTTCTGTGTTTGTAATTACCAGATTTTCTCTTCTGTTTATATATTGTTCTGATGTAAAGAACCTAATAGTTATATAAAATTAGACCTTTTGTGAATAAATATAATTTATTAGAAAAAAATGGCATCTTTTACTAAGTAAGTTGGATTTGTGTCAGCTTTTGGCATTAAACACCCCTCCTTACATGCAGCAGTTCTGTGCTGCGAGATGCTAGATGCCCATGTTCTGTTTCCTCAGTGTAATACTTGATTTTCTCTATAAAAAGTTAGATCAAAAAGTTTATCTACACTTCATTTCTTTCATGTTTTTTCTTGGAATTAGATTGGGTATTAGTTTTAAGGGGAATGAAAAACAGATTAATCCTTTTGTATATACTGGGCCGATCCTCTGCAGACATTTCTGATAAAGATTTTAAAAATGTCTTCGGGCTAAGAGCTGTTTTACCAAATACTAAAATTAATAGGTATGTGCTCTGTGAAGCTATTGTAAGAATGCATCTTCCAGTTAAAGAGGTAATTTTACAAAATCGAGTACATTGAACCACAGTAGGTGATGGGTATCAAGTCCCAGTCTATGCTAATCATTTTGTCAGCAGGGTCCCTTGGGCATTCAATGCAGTGAATTTTAGTGGGTGAGGATTTAGATTTTTAGAGGATTGGGAGTTGGGAACAAGGAGACTTAGTTCTAAATCACTGGTAAATTCTAAGAATGGGTATTAATGGAATATACTGTCCCATACCTAACCATATCCACCCTCATTTGAACTTAACTGCTGTGGTTTCAGTTTGAAAACATTTTGATTTTGTGGAATATTAAAGATGTTTACCATGAGGCACAAACAAGAGAATTTTACTAACTGGAATTTAACTTTTCCCCATCCTTATAAAATAAAGCTTCAACGACATTGTATAACTGGTGCAGTAAGAAGAGCGCTGAATTGGTAACAAAGGCTTATTAATATAATTTGTGCCTCTTTAAGAAAGTTTTTTTTAAGATTTTATTTATTCATAGAGAGAGGCAGAGGGAGAAGCAGGCATTGTACAGAGAGCTTGATGTGGGACTCGATCCAGGGTCTCCAGGATCACGCCCTGGGCTGCAGGCGGCGCTAAGCCGCTGCGCCAACGGGGCTGCCCAAGAAAGTGGTTTTGAAGCCACTTTGGACAATTTTCTAACTTGCTTCCTTAAGAATATATTAAACGTTGCACAGTCTGATGATTTGGAATTATTACTAAAAAAAAGTCAGTATGTTTGAGCAATGGAGGCCACACTGCTTGCATGAACCTTGCCAAGCAACAGGGTTGTTGGGTGCAGGGTTACCTCCATGCGATGTACCTGTTACCTATCTGGTATACATACAACATCCTCATTAAAACAAATCTGGGGTTGGGTGGGGGAGGATAATGTCTTACCAAACATCAGTGTTCCTCTGAGAGCAATAAATTTGTAAGTACAAGTTTGGACACGGATCCCTCACTACCAAAATCTGTTAGGTTCTTACGTT